TCTCCCTTATGAGGAGAGACTGAGAGAGCTGGGACTCTTTAGTCTGGAGAAGAGAAGGCTGAGGGGAGACCTTATTCATGCCTACAAGTATCTCAAGGGCGGGCTGAGGGAGGAGGGAACCAGACTCTTTTCAGTGGTTGCCAGTGAGAGGACGAGGGGCAACGGGCACAAGTTGGAACATAAAGGGGTCCACTTGAATATGAGGAAGAACTTCTTCACGGTGAGGGTGACAGAGCCCTGGAACAGGCTGCCCAGGGAGGGTGTGTGTCCCCTTCTTTGGAGATTTTCAAGACCCGCCTGGATGCTCCTGAGTAACATGCTCTGACAAGCTCTGGGTGGTCCTGCTTCAGCAGGGGAGTTGGGCTAGATGATCTCTATGGTCCCTTCCAACTCTAACAATTCAGTGAAATTTAGTATGCAGAAATAACAGGGCAGAAAGAGAGATGCGGTTCCCTTCAAGACCCTGAAACCTGTGGAGAGGCATCCCAAAGGAGCTCCAAGGCTGAGCCCTCTTCCTTGTGTTCCTTTGGACACAGAATACATTTCACATGAGATGGAAATGGGTGTTCAAAACGCTTACGATGTATCCTGGTTTCCTCCCTCTTGGATCTGGGGTTAAATTCACTGGTCTATAATCCCACGGCTGTACATATAACAGCCAAGTCCACTAAGCAGAAAGCAAAAGTTGGTCAGACCCTTCAATCCAGCAGAGTAGAGACCTCTCTACAGCTCAAACAAGGCCCTGAGGAACGCAGAAAGCAAGTGGAAAATACCCTGGCTGCAGAAGTTGCTGAGGGGGGCCCTGAGGACCAGGAGTGGAAGAAAGCTCTGGCCTAAATAATGACACAGGGAAGAAGAACTGCTTGATTTGGCAGGGGAGTTGGACTAGATGACCTCTAGGAAGATCCCATCCAACTCCAACAATTGCATGATTTGCTTACTGCAAGACACAGACAGTCTGCACCAAGTCTCATGAGGTACCTTCAAATCACAACACACAGCTTTTACACACGTGTCATTTCTCTCTCCATTACAGTTCATAACAAATTCAGGGCACCAGGCAGGTGGAGCAAGGAATAGTCCACCACAGAGCAAACTATCCCCATGCCTAGAATGAGAAAAGAGTGCTGAATATGTAAAGTGTTGGGAAACCCAGTGGCTAAAAGAGAAGGTGAAGATATTTAACCCTTAGTACTACTCACCAGATATCCACCTTTTCGGAGACGGGCTCGTTGCGTATCACCTCCGGGGCCATCCAAGCCACAGTTCCAGCAAAAGACATCTTGGTACTTTTATCACTGAGTTCTTTCGACGTCCCAAAATCTGAAATTTTTACTGCATCTGTGTGTGTAACTAAAACACTGGAGAGAAAAAGAAAAAAAAAGAGAAAGAAAAAGAAATAAGCAATCAACATTTTGCAGTTTTTCTTGTACCACGACAGCCACTGGGAGTAAATCCCTTCTTAATCAACACAAATGGTTGTGCTGTTCACAATTGTAGTACAAGAAAAAAAGATGATGCATTTTCACTGACAAAAGCACTCACTGTCTTTGGGGTGGTTGTGTTTTGTGCCTCAAATGCATTTCTAGATGCAACAAGTCAAAGATTAAATTGCAAATTCACAAGTCGCTAAAGATTCACTATATCTGGGAGTGTTTCAAAATTTTAATAAAGCTGTATTTTAAACTGTGCTGTAAATCATCTAAAAGTGTTATCTTAATGCACTGTCACAGTCACGTCACAGGCTAAAGAAGTGACAAACATCTAGGGAATAAGAATATAAGCAGTCAGATAGTTTTGGTCAGAAAGCAGCAGAGAAATGAGAAAGATGCATTCCAGAAAAACGGGGGAATAACAAAAGAACAAACAAGGAGGAAAAATGAAAAAGCAGAAGGCAACAGAATATCCCGTTTTCAAAAAGGACCAGGCATCATAAAATCATTAGAAATATTTCCTGATTGCTATTTATCATGTAAGACACTGGGAGAATTTCCAGTCTTCTTACATTGCAGCACAGCAGGGGATGCCAACAAGTTGCATTAGCTTCACTCTCATTAGTTTTGAGTCAAAGTATTAAAAAAAAAAAGGGATTTTGACCTAGCTTTAAACTATTCCTCAAGAAAACAACAAGACAACCCCAAGTGGAGGATGTTTCATTGGCTAGAGACTCACTTTGGTGACTTGAGGTCTCGATGGATGATTTTGTGAAGGTGCAGATAATTCATCCCGCTGGCGATCCCCGTGGACCAGTCCACAAGCAGCCGAGGGGTGACCTTCCGCCCCGCTCGCAGGACCTCGTAGAGCTGCCCGTGTGCGCAGTACTCCATGATGATGCAGTAGCACGGGGCCTGAGTGCAAACTCCCCTGGCAAAGAAAGAAAACACACAGCTGGTGAGGATCAGGAGAGTCAAAATCCCAGAGCAGCTCTCAAAGGTAGCAATGGAGGGGTGGCAGATTAGCCTGGGCCAGCCTCTGCTAATAACGCCTTAATGAACAGGAGGAACCTCACTGGTGATTGGGATGGGTTTCCATCAACTTCCACAGATTTGTAGGGTTCACTACGGGCATTTTGTGACCCCACAGGTCACAGCACTGGGTGGGAATGGCATCCAAGCTTCTCAGCCTTTTGGCTAAGATCAAGTGTAGTATCTGTTCTTATCAGTTTAATATCTGATACGTCCTCGATGAGAGGACTTTATATTAAACAGATTTTTCGGTTCGGGATTTAAATTTTTTTTTTCCAGAGGAGAGCCACCAAGCTGGTGAGGGGCCTGGAGAACAAGTCCTATGAGGAGAGGCTGAGGGAACTGAGCATGTTTAGTTTGGAGAAGAGGAGGCTGAGGGGAGACCTCATTGCCCTCTACAACTCCCTGAAAGGAGGGTGTAGAGAGGCAGGTGTTGGCCTCTTCTCCCAAAGGACGAACGACAAGACCAGAGGAAATGGTCTGAAGTTGGGGGAGGGTAAGTTTAGATTAGATATTAGAAAGAACTACTTTCCTGAGAGAGTGGTCAGGCCCTGGAACAGCCTGCCCAGGGAGGTGGCGGAGTCACCATCCCTGGAGGGATTTAAGAAACGTATAGACATGGCTCTTCAGGGCATGCTCTAGTGCCCAAGGTTATTGGTTTATGGTGAGGTGTTGAGTGTGGGGTTTAGTTGGTGGGTATGGTGTTTTTGGTGGGCATTTGGTGTGGTGGGTTTTGTATTTCTTTGGTTTTGTTTGGTTGTTTTTTTTTTGTGGTTGGACTCAATGATCTCAGAGGTCCCTTCCAACCACTAAGATTCTGTGAAGATTTTGTGAAGCCTTAGTATTCACATGAATGTGCGACAACTTGAGAGGAAGGACAACCACCCAATTTTGCCCCGGACTTTAAAAACTTGGCCAGGACGCACAGGCGAATGGCTCTTCCCTGGACAAAGGTATGTTTCTAAAGAGTCTCCCAACCTACTTGAACGCAATGATGTTAGGATGCTTGAGCTTCCTCAAGTGCTTGATATCCGTTTCGTTCTGATCTCTCACTTTCTTGATGGCCACCTCCTCCGCCCGGAATTTGCCGAGGAAGACGGCTCCCTGCGCGCCGCTGCCCAGCCACTGCAGCTCCGAGATCTCCTCGAACGGGACCTCCCAGGTATCTAGGTACAGGCAAGCAAAGAGAACAACATGAAAAGATCAAGCCCACAGAAGTGTTCTGTAGCAAGATCACACCAGGACACATCTCGAGGTGGATTTTTCTAGGGGTGGTAGATGGTATCTCCTCCCAGTACAGGCTCAGCCTCAGCTTCCCCTTCATCCAGCTCCTCTCCCTCACCACAGTTTCACTTAATTTCACTGAATTTTTAGAGTTGGAAGGGACCATAGAGATCATCTAGTCCAACTCCCCTGCTAAAGCAGGACCACCCAGAGCTTGTCAGAGCATGTTACTCAGGAGCATCCAGGCGGGGCTTGAAAATCTCCAGAGAAGGGGACTCCACACCCTCCCTGGGCAGCCTCTTCCAGGGCTCTGTCACCCTCACCATGAAAAAGTTCTTCCTCATATTCAAGTGGAACCTCTTATGTCCCAACTTGTGCCCATTGCCCCTTGTCCTCTCACTGGCAACTACTGAAAAGAGTCTGGCTCCCTCCTCCTTCAACCCTCCCTTGAGATACTTGTCAGCATTAATAAGGTCTCCCCTCAGCCTTCTCTTCTCCAGACTAAAGAGTCCCAGCTCTCTCAGTCTCTCCGCATAAGGGAGATGCTCCAATCCTTGAATCATCTTTGTTGCCCTTCACTGGACTCTCTCCAGCAGTTCCCTGTCCCTCTTGAACTGGGGAGCCCAGAACTGGACGCAGGATTCCAGTTGTGGCCTCCCCAGTGCAGAGCAGAGGGGGAGAATGACCTCCCTTGACCTGCTGTCCACACTCTTCCCTATGCAGCCAGTTGCCTCCAGCCTGTTCTTTCCCATTCCCACCTGCTTTTCCAACAGAGCTCACCACCACTAACCCCTGGGGTGAGCTGCTTCGAGTTGACAGGCAGCAATTTAACACACCAGGGACACTGGATTGGCAGTTCAGGGAGCTGGTCCTGGACTCCAAAACTGAACGGTGATGGTATCTCTTAGAAATCCTACATGATTCCATTGAAAAGGATAGATGAGAAAAAAAACACATTTAACATTGACAACTGGAAAAAAAAAAAAAACCCACAACAAACAACTAAGGGGTTTTTTTGCCCCCTGAAACAGGCCAAAAAAATAGGATATAAAAGGGAAAGTCAGAGGTGGCAGGTTGTAAAATGGCAACCACCAAGTTACCCAACACAAAGCCCATTAACCACCAGCACCAGTCACAGAAGCGGGTCTTTCCCACTCTAATGTTGAGTATATCAGTGTCAAATGGGCAAAAAATCCTGAAGGGACTCCCCCTTTGAGGCACCCGCACGCATCTTGCAGGGACACTGCCAGAGCGGTCCAGCAGCAGGGTACAAACCAGTTCAGGACAGCTGTACCCATCAGAACAGAAAGCTTTGCTGTCTGGAAGTCACCTCGAAATTACCTGAACATCCCACAAACAGCAAGATCAAAGGCAGGCAATAATTTATTTACTGCAACCTGATAAACGTGTAAGTTTAGAGAATAAATTATTTAGCGACAAACCCACCAAGCACCAAAACCCACTGATTTCTGCAATAGAAGGAAGTCACATCTCTACAGATTGCCATTTCAGATCACTAAAAAGATGCATCTTCTTGGTTCACCCAGTTCCCACCTGCTTTTCCAACAGAGCTCACCACCCCTAACCCCTGGGGTGAGCTGCTTCGAGTTGACAGGCAGCAATTTAACACACCAGGGACACTGGATTGGCAGTTCAGGGAGCTGGTCCTGGACTCCAAAACTGAACGGTGATGGTATCTCTTAGAAATCCTACATGATTCCATTGAAAAGGATAGATGAGAAAAAAAACACATTTAACATTGACAACTGGAAAAAAAAAAAAAACCCACAACAAACAACTAAGGGGTTTTTTTGCCCCCTGAAACAGGCCAAAAAAATAGGATATAAAAGGGAAAGTCAGAGGTGGCAGGTTGTAAAATGGCAACCACCAAGTTACCCAACACAAAGCCCATTAACCACCAGCACCAGTCACAGAAGCGGGTCTTTCCCACTCTAATGTTGAGTATATCAGTGTCAAATGGGCAAAAAATCCTGAAGGGACTCCCCCTTTGAGGCACCCGCACGCATCTTGCAGGGACACTGCCAGAGCGGTCCAGCAGCAGGGTACAAACCAGTTCAGGACAGCTGTACCCATCAGAACAGAAAGCTTTGCTGTCTGGAAGTCACCTCGAAATTACCTGAACATCCCACAAACAGCAAGATCAAAGGCAGGCAATAATTTATTTACTGCAACCTGATAAACGTGTAAGTTTAGAGAATAAATTATTTAGCGACAAACCCACCAAGCACCAAAACCCACTGATTTCTGCAATAGAAGGAAGTCACATCTCTACAGATTGCCATTTCAGATCACTAAAAAGATGCATCTTCTTGGTTCACCCAGTCTCTGAGCCAACAGGGTGTCCCTGGGGCTGGCACTGGGATTACACCAAAGTGTTTATTTTAGATACTGTCACCACTCAAGGGAAACTTCTATACCCAAAAGTGTCTCTGGGCTGATGCTGATCCCTACCCTCAATTTTCAAGAATCCCAAGACACCCTGAAGGTGATACTGCCCACCAGCAAACGTGTCCTTTGGTACTGGAACAAGAAATGCCTGTCTGTGTAAGAACCTAAGAGAAACTGAGGCATGAAACATGCTGTGGCCACTATCTTGACCACAAGACACTCAAATATTTTAAAATAATAAGCCTTCTTCTTCACCCAACAACCTGAGTAATTTTTTTGCCACTTGGTATTTAGCTCTTTAGACATTTCAACATTTAAAGGCAGTTCTTTAAATAAGGAAAATAAAAGAAAAGGAGGAAATTCATAAATAAATTGATAAGATGTGCATTTCTATTTAATTCCCAAATGCATCACTTGTGAAAGAAGGTGGCAAACACAGTTGATTTTCATGTTTGTTGACAAACAGTATTTTTATGTGGGTGACATGGAACTATTCTGTTGTACTGAAATAGCTGTTTCTTTAGGTGTGAGGAGACTGCCTTTCCTGCACACGGCGTGCAACCTTGTCATCTCTTTCCCCAAAGCACCCAAAGTTTGTGAGCAGTGCTGGGTAACTACATTGTTATCACCAAGGAGCCCTAATTTGCTCTTAATATTACCTATTAACCTCCGCAACGGCAGAGGCAGAGAGAGATTGTGAACAAAGAAAGCAAAAGTTTATGCACTTTCTCCTGCGAAGTCATCACCTCGTGTTTATTTGGAGAGAGATATCCTTTCCCACGTGCAACAGTAAGACAAAAATCCAAAAAAACCCTCTTTCACTCTCCAGGAGCATGTTATTACACTAAGACCACCAGCACCAGCAGGTTGTTTGGCTCCCAGAACGTACCAGGCACTGAAAAGCTTCCCAAAGAATGGGATGCTGGTGGAGAAAAGCACTGGACACCATTCAATCAAAAAAACAGGGTTTGGTAGCATGAGTGGTGCAAACGCTGAGAGCTCCGTCATCTCAACCAGCAGCAGGAATCAGAGAAGGACTTGAATTTTTTCACTGAAAGGGTTCTCAGCCATTGGAATGGGCTGCCCAGGGAGGGGGTTGAGGCCCCATCCCTGGAGGTGTTCAAAAGCCGGGTTGATGTAGTGCTGGGAGGTCTGGTTTAGTGATGATGCTCCTTGTTTGTTGTGTGGGTGTCTATTTTTGTCAGTCAGGTTGATGGTTGGACAAGATGATCTTTAAGGTCCCTTCCAACCTAGAAGATTCTGTGATTCTGTGATAAACCATCTGCAAGAACTTGGGTGTGTGGCTGTGATGACTAACCCTAGTTAGGTCAAAGAGCCTGGCCAGAAGAGTTGCAAGAACTTGGGTGCGCGGCTGTGATGACTAACCTTAGTTAGGTCAAAGAGCCTGGCCAGAAGAGTAACACCTCAGATGATCAGCAGGGTGGCAAGGAGCCACGTCTGGGTGGGCTAATCAAGACCCAACCATACTGCCAGCCTTGGTCAAGAAGTTCATTAATATTTCTTGGCTTGAGATTCGCCCAGACTTCAAGGCTTGCTACAGCTCTCCTAGCACTGTCCCCTCCTCCAGCAGAAGAGAGATGAGGAGATCTCCTGCCAGGATGGACCAGTTTTTGTTCCAGACTCTTCTGGGCCTAAAGAAGCCTGGGGGATACGGCCCCTAAATAAATTAAAGTGTTACAGCAGCAAGAATTACGCAAGAGCATGCGTTTCTAAGGTGATTAAGGACCATTGGAGTAGAATGATGGGTATCTGTTTCTCATGGGGAAGAAAGGCAGGAGCAGCCCCAGCCATCGAGCCAATCTCTCTGAAGCAAATTTGTGCCCTTTGCCAGCGCCGACCGCTCGCCAGGATTGGCACGAGGACAAGGAGAAACTCTGGTGTAGAAAAAACCCAGGAACACGAGCAACCTTCATAAAGCACCTTGCTCTTCAGCCCTGCACAACCCCCCCATGATGAACATAACTTGTGAAGGGTATAGTGAAAGTAACTCCCGAATACAGATTCTTAATCCAAAGGAAATGACTCAAGAGCCCAATGAGTCTGTGGAAAACACAAACGAGTCTTACTATAAAGCGTTACAGAGTCCCAACAATCCAAATTAAATAACTGGTAGATGCAAATTAAAGAACTAAGTATATCTCCCTGAAAGCACTCACCAGCAGCCTTTAGAAATCAGGGTAAACAAGTGGAAAAACACAGTCAGAAGTGATTTTATGGGTCAAACCCAAAATACTTAACCCCCAGATAATCGACTTGCAGCCATTGAACAACAGAAAAGCAAAGACTCCCTGAAGGAATGACTACTCACCAAGCAGGCAGAGCAATTAACAGCAGCAATTGGCACTGCTTAATCAACCAAGACACCACCCCGCTGACCAAAGCTCTGCCCAGCGTGGGTCCCCAAGGAAGCACAGAAATGCTCTCCTCTTGACGACCATCTCAGATGCTGAGAAGGAAACTCAAGGAGTAATTTCAACAAGAAGATAATGCAGAATCATGTAGAAATCATTCTTATCTTTTCCACCCATTCACCAAGTCCCAAGCCAAGCCTTCACAGGCAACATGGAGGCAATATGGGAAGCCAACCACATCCTGGGCTGCATCAAAAGCAGCGTGGGCCAGCAGGTCCAGGGAGGTGATTCTGTCCCTCTGCTCTGCTCTCGTGAGACCCCACCTGGAGCTCTGTGTCCAGCTCTGGAGTCCTCAACATGGACCTGTTGGAATGGGTCCAGAGGAGGGCCATGAAAGTGATCTGAGGGCTAGAGCACCTCTGCTGTGAGGGCAGCAGAGGGTTGGGGTTGTTCAGCCTGGAGAAGAGAAGGCTCCAGGGAGACCTTAGAGCAGCCTTCCAATATCTGAAGGGGCTACAGGAGAGCTGGGGAGGGACTCTTTGTCAGGAGGTGCAGTGACAGGACAAGGGGTTATGGGTTTAAATTGAAAGAGGGGAGATTTAGATTAGATACCAGAAAGAAATTCTTTGGTGTGAGGGTGGTGAGACCCTGGCCCAGGTTGCAGGGCTCCTTGGAGCATCTCCTGCTGTCTCCAGCCAAAGCAGCCCCTGGAGACCTCAAAACTCTTCACTCTGAGGGTGGTGAGAGCCTGGCCCAGGTTGCCCAGAGAAGCTGTGGCTGCCCCATCCCTGGAGGGGTTCAAGGCCAGGTTGGAGGGGGCTTGGAGCAACCTGGTCTGGTGGGAGGTGTCCCTGCCCAGGGCAGGGGGGTGGTACTCAATGATCTTTACAGTCCCTTCCAACCCAAACCATTCTATGATTCTATGAATATGGACTCAAGTATGACATTTCCAAAGGGCATGAAACCTATTTATATTTTACTACTGGCAACCACACCACCACCACGTCGTCCTAGCATTTGGGCCTGCAGGAGATCCAAAGCGGGCAAACAGGGATGCTGATGAGCAGCAAGAAGTACTAGGAAGCATCTGCAGGCAAAACCAAGTTCCCCTGTGGCTACACGTCCAAACAGGCCTCCTACCCCATCTGTTGATTCAGTCCAACACAAAGGTCTGCTCCTGGATTGGGCTTAAAGTAGCTGCTTCATGAAGAGGGGAAAAAAAAAATCACCTGCACAAATCTATGGCACCAGCCCAAAGGGGTAAATCAGCTCCCAGGGGAACAAAAGGCCACCACGAGCATCTCTCTACTGCTGGAAGGACCAGAGACATTTCCTCAGCCTGTCTTCTCCACATGCCTAACACCTGCACAAACACAAACCCTGCATCCTCTGGGCTCCTGCTCAAAGACAGCAAAAATAAAAGCAATCACATCCATCAGTTACTCAACTGCCGGCTTCTATGTAGCTGATGAAACACACACAAAGAAGATTTTCTGGTGGCAAGAAGCAAGAATGAGATCATCCGGAAAAGAGAACATGAATATTCTGACAAAATTCTCAAGCTTTAGCATAGAAGCAAGTTTTGAAAGGTTTATCCGTGGATAATTAAAGAGTACTGCTACCATCAGAGATCTGCCCGACCGATCAGCTCGAGGGGAAAAAAAAATATTAAAAAAAAAAATCTTCTCTTTACTCTTAATTTATGACATTGAAGATGCAGCTAAACCATCCAGGCCACACAGCAGATCCCAATTAATCTTCAGCCTTACTACATCTGCAGCCTTTGCAAAACCACCCTTTTAGGAAGGACCTAATGCCAACGGCCAACTGCAAAGCACCCATTAATCCACGTCTCCGAATGTGCCCACGACACAGAACAGCAAGATACTTCTGAGCACACGAAGAGGAGCTCTGCGGGCACCCCCCAAACGCCCTCAGCTGCTCGTTTTCATTAGTTAGCTCTTCCATCTTTTTTATTAGTGACTTTCATACAAAAGAAAGCGTCCCCTGTGGGCCATCAAAGCACACGCTAAACTGCGGTCTCCAACGCATCTGCTGTCCCAATTCTAGGGGAAATGAGATCTCTCTGCCTCACAGGGAGCTTTCCTGGAGCTCCTTCCCCAGCTTCCAGGCACAGGCAAGCACAAGTTGGCTCAGAAGCTCCCAGTGACAAGTGTGAGCTGGTGAGATCCCACTGGTGTGGGGCAGTCAGGGAATTGCTGGCAGCAGCCGATGAAACCGCATCTGTGTCCGTTCCTTGGAAAGTTTCAGCTCCATTTGAAAACCCCGAGCGCCTGTAACACAGCCCTGCTGACACCACGCTCCCTCTCTGCACCTCCTCCTCCTCCCCTGCCACACACGGGCTCTTCCAAAACTCCCCACATCCCGCTCCACCCCCACGGTGTTAATTCCCCACCGAATTTGCAGTCGCTTTGTTTTGTTTTTTTATTTATAGACCCAACCACGTGTGACATCCTGAGTCCACGATGCGCAGGCAAAACTCAAAATCAACTTTGCCAAAGGATTTCAAACTGCAGTAAACTCTCGCTGAGGGCATGGGTCTGACAGAGCAGGGGCTGAGGAGGCACCTTTCCCCCCTCACAGAATCTTCTAGGTTGGAAGGGACCTTAAAGATCATCTTGTCCAACCGTCAACCTGACTGACAAAAATAGACACCCACACAACAAACAAGGAGCATCATCACTAAACCAGACCTCCCAGCACTACATCAACCTGTCTTTTGAACACCTCCAGGGATGGGGCCTCAACCCCCTCCCTGGGCAGCCCATTCCAATGGCTGAGAACCCTTTCAGTGAAAAAATTTTTCCTAATATCCAGCCTGAACCTCCCCTGGCATACCCTGAGGCCATTTCCTCTTGTCCTGTCGCCTGTGACTTGGGAGAAGAGACCGACCCCCACCTCTCTACACCCTCCTTTCAGGGAGTTGGAGAGAGCAATAAGGTCTCCCCTCAGCCTCCTCTTCTCCAGGCTGAACACCCCCAGCTCCCTCAGCCTCTCCTCATAAGACTTATTCTCCAGACCCCTCACCATCTTTGTCGCCCTTCTCTGGACCCGCTCCAGCCCCTCAATGTCTTTTTTATTGACTCTGCGAAGGAGGAGTGAGTTTATTTCAAGGCAGATTCACCCAACGCATCATTTAATGACCCTGTTCCCTCCTAGTAGGGACCATTCCTCAGCCCAGCTCTGGGGTTTGGACATCAACCACTCAGATGGGTTTCCTGACCACAACCTTACCATTTGTCTACGCCAGAAAACCGATGGATTAACACTGAGTCACAATCACAGCAACACAGGAGACTTCTGCCCCCTGTCACAGTATGCTGGCCAGGCTGTTCCCATTTGCCATAAGCCCACTCAGATGGGTTTCCTGACCACAACCTTACCATTTGTCTACGCCAGAAAACCGATGGATTAACACTGAGTCACAATCACAGCAACACAGGAGACTTCTGCCCCCTGTCACAGTATGCTGGCCAGGCTGTTCCCATTTGCCATAAGCCTCAACCATTTCAGCCTCTTAATTCTAATGACAGCTTGTTCTTTTCCCATCTGCCACGTCCCTCCCCCTGTGCTAGGGGAGAAATCAGACACCAAAGGCAGAGCATACTCTGCTCTTTAGCTTCCAGTAACCCCTAAAGATATATGTATGGGACCGACTGGGACATTACTTATTCCCAAACTGCATATTTGTTTCAGATATATATCTATATTCACACACACATTTATACATTTACACTTATACATCTAAATGAAAAAGGTATAAACATTAAAGGACGTATTTCTGGGAAGGTAAGTACTGAATGATATTCTAAAGAATAAAATTACTCCTGAACAAAAAGTCATAAATGTGGATGTAATTTGCCCACAGAGAAGCAATGCCTCAACCATTTCAGCCTCTTAATTCTAATGACAGCTTGTTCTTTTCCCATCTGCCACGTCCCTCCCCCTGTGCTAGGGGAGAAATCAGACACCAAAGGCAGAGCATACTCTGCTCTTTAGCTTCCAGTAACCCCTAAAGATATATGTATGGGACCGACTGGGACATTACTTATTCCCAAACTGCATATTTGTTTTAGATATATATCTATATTCACACACACATTTATACATTTACACTTATACATCTAAATGAAAAAGGTATAAACATTAAAGGACGTATTTCTGGGAAGGTAAGTACTGAATGATATTCTAAAGAATAAAAAAGGCATAAAAGTGGATGTAATTTGCCCACAGAGAAGCAATGCTTCTGCTATTTGGTGGGGAGCTGGAGACAGCCTTGACGTGCACATGCAGGAGCAGAAATGCCCATGTCAATGTTTATCATCCGGCATGATGAAAATCCCTACGCCCGTGGCTCTCATCTGGCATGAAAAAACCCCACAGCAATGAAGGAGCTGGTACAATCCCTGTGTTCAACACGATCCATTCTGATCCTCACTTACGCAAACGCTCGGTTCAGATTCAGACCACGTCACAACAGTCCAAGGCACGGGTCAGAACAGACAATTGGTTTTGACTCCCATTATGAGCTGTCTTGGCTACACAGGACAGCTGTTGGCTGTACGCTGCAGGATGGCTCTTTGCAAACCCATAACAGGGCTGTGTGAGACACAGAGTCACATGGAAAGCTGGGAACAATCCCTGGGTTGCCTTCCTCATCTTCACAGCTTGTCCCAAGAAGCACTAAAGGTTTCCTTCCCCACTTACCTTGCTGTTGCAGTTTGTAGTCGGTGGAGTAGGCCTTGCCTATGATGTTCCACACAGGCCTCAGGCAACCAAAAAGTCCCTCCAGAAACCCACCGCTCCCGCTGCCCGATCTGTTGAACTGGACTTTAACGTCGTCTGCTCCGCTGTTGCTCTCTCCATCCACCGTGTTCCTGTTGCCCTGAGGAATGGGGGTTTCAGCCTCGTCCTGCTCCCGCAGCTGCAGCACGCTGTTCTCAAATTGGTCCCTAGAGTCCTCGCTGATGCTGGTCAGCACGGCTGCGGTGACGGGGCTGCTCACGTTCTCCATGAGGTCTGCCTGCAGCAAGCCCTTCTCACGCACGTCCTCGATGAGCTCGGGGGACGGGTGGCTCCCAGTAGGTGCGTGGTCATCCTGTAACCTCCCAAAGTCTTTATCTTCACAGAAAGCTTTGCCCCCCACCGAGGTTGGAGAGGAAGACAAGCTCAGGCGCTCCTGAGTACTGGCCATGATGCCGTGAGGGTGCATCAAGGAGATGGGCTGAGCTGGTACTTAGAGAATCAGTACAACACAATTCAGATGTGACACACGGACCCAGTACCTGAAACGAGAGGAAAAAGAAACAACTTTCAATTTTTTTTTTTATTTAAGTATTTTCACTACGTGCACTTTCGCAGGGGCGAGCTGATAATTAACTCGACATTCCAGACAACTGCTGATACTTAGTAAATAATTACTGCCCTAAGAGAAGCAAATAAATTATTCCAACAGAAACTCCGCTCACGCAGTGCTCTGGGTAACCTGCTGCAGGAATTGCCCCGTAAACGAACACCGCAAGTTTTAAACAAAAGCCTAAAGGTCAAACCCCTGAAAGCAAAGTGCTGGTTCTTCATGGTTACTATAGCACTTATCAGACTGAAGCTGACCCTCAGGTGTTTCCCAGCTCGGGTCAGGTTGGAGCCCAGTCACTGTTTCTGGGTCTGGCACAGCCCACAAGCTCTGGATTCCTCTGCAAACCCTTGAGATGAGGTGTTTGAGAAACAAAGCAGAGTAAGAAAGACACCCTGACCCTACCAAGGCATGGTTTGTAGATGCTCCCTCAGAGCCCCACCTAGTTATGACCATCCCGGTCCTTTAGTTTAATCCTTTCAAGTTCATGGTAGCAAGATATGTGATGTTCTCTAACCATGTATGTGTCACCCTCAAAAACAACTAAGACCTGAAGAGCTTCCCAGGTATGGTATATCCTCCTCTCTGATCTCCTCTCCAGAAGCCTGAGGAGCATCTCCTCCCGCTGCCCTCTGCTTCCTCCCTGCATGAAGTTCCTGGTAGGTTGCAAATAAATTCAGAGCTGGCATCTCTTTTAAAAAGTTCCCCCATCTCTTGCTACGTGCTCCAGTGAAAGACCCCTTTTTCTACTGCCCACCATACTTCCACCTTCCTCCAGAGCTGGGGGTCACGCTGCGATAGCTGCCCACTTTGCTGGGATGGATAGAGCCACGAGTCTCTAAATTTGCCCCCAGAGTAATTAAGCACATTCCGCCTGCAACACAGAACAAAGTCTGATTTTAAATTCCTTCTGAAGTTGAGACGGGGGGGTGAGGGGGTGGGAGGGGGAGGAGAGGGCATTAGCAGAAACTATTTTGTTAAAAAGTAAGGTCAGTTACACTGGGTGCAAAGTCCCAGGCTCTGCAAACAGGCGCTAGAAGGAAGGAAGAGGTGGCCAGGTAGCACGGAGCCAATCCAAAAGGAGCAACTTCTCAAGATGAGGTCATTGCAGAGATGAGAGATAAGACCTTCAGCCTGGTGCAGGAAAAGCTCCCTCAGTTGTCCCTCTCCAACAGTAGAAGCAGCAAATGGGAACAGCCAGGAGCCTGTTTTACATTATTTCTGCTTGATCACGTAGGGTATAAAAGCTTTATTAGAACAACATCATTCAGGCTGTAAACGTCATTCTTTAAAAGAAAGCAAAACAGCAAGTGAGGCAAAAATTCCATCTAAACATGAGGAGGAACTTCTTCACTTTGAGGGTGGCAGAGCCCTGGAAGAGGCTGCCCAGGGAGGTGGTGGAGTCTCCTTCTCTGGAGACATTCAAACCCACCTGGACACATTCCTGTGGGACCTGCTCTGGGTGGCCCTGCTCTGGCAGGGGGTTGGACTGGATGATCTCCAGAGGTCCCTTCCAACCCCATGTGATTCTGTGATTCTGTGTAAAACTGCAGCACAGTCCATACCAGTAAAGGAGCTGAACTGGACTTGTACAGGAAGCTCCAGAGTTGGTTACTCCTGACCTCCCTGTGACCAGCATCGCAATGACCCAGCCCAGATTTTGTTGTCAATACAAAGAAGAAAAGGGAGATGTTTGAGACCTGAACAGAATTATTTCAGAAAATACCCAAACCACTCCAGTTCAGCGCTCCTGGGCACTGCCCCTGCATGTTTCCAAAAGTCTCTCCAAAAGAGACAAGTGATTCTTCAAGCAAAAGTGGAATGTGAGCAGTGTTCCTGCAGAAGAATCTGCTTTCCAGAACACAGCAGATGAAGCCATGTAAGCCTGCTTCCCCTGCAGAAAACCCTAGAGTAAGATCCAAAACAAGAGTGTGGGGTAGCAGCATCCCAGCAGCGTCTTAACAATGGGAAGTGCATTAAGGATTAAATCAGACTTGGAGGATAAAATTGTCTTGCTGTTACACAACTCTCGAAATGCAGTATCTACTAAAGGCTGGGATTTTTTCTATGCAGCTCTCTGACTTCACAACGCATGATTGCGCAAGCTGAAACAGAGAAAGAACAGCTTTTCCTGTACATAGTCTGTATTTTCCTATTTTCTAAATGGATTATCAACACCGAAGGTGACCCCTCCTCCCCTCATGCATTTCTTGCTTGGAAAGTTAAGCCTCTCTCTTCCATCTGCTGCTGAAGCACCACACCATGGAGAATGAGTCTTGTGAGGAGAGGCTGAGGGAGCTGGGGGTGTTCAGCCTGGAGAAGAGGAGGCTGAGGGGAGACCTTATTGCTCTCTCCAACTCCCTGAAAGGAGGGGGTAGCCGGAGGGGTCATTCTCTTCTCCCAAGGAACAGGCAATGGGACAAGAGGAAATGGCCTCAAGTTGCTCCAGTGGAGGTTCAGATTGGAGATTAGGAACAATTTTGACACGGAAAGGGTTATTAAGCCTTGGAATGGGCTGCCCAGGGAAGGGGTTGAGGCACCATCCCTGGAGGTATTTAAAAGATGGGTTGATAAAGTGCTCAGGGACATTGGTTAGTGATGGTTTTTTAGCAGTTAGGTTGATGGTTGGACCAGATGATCTGAAAGGTCCCTTCCAACCTCACAGTTCTATGATCCTATGACTGACACCTGCAGCCCCTCACGAAGATGGGGGCTCCATGCAGCAGGCAGTGCAAGTGCGCCCAGAGAAATCCCTTTCTTCTAATATTAATAAAAAGATGGAGTTTAGGCAAGTGGCCTGCATTTTCCGTGCTGTAGGCTGAGCACGGAACCACAGGCACATCAGCTGGAGAGGACCTCAGGAAGTCATCAGGTTGAACCTCTCTCCTACCTGCACAGCAGGGCTACCCCAACGCAGCCCAGCCATGGCTCTGATAGCTCAGCCATGGCCCTAGTAGTCCAGCCGTGGCCCTGATAGCCCAGCTGAGCACAAACCCCCCCAGATTCGGGGAGATCAGGGCTGTCTCACCAGATCAAATTGCCTTCTCCAAGACTTAGCTGTTCCAAAGGATAAAAAGCCTTGAAGCGCAGCGCCCTGCCATCGTACATGCCGCTGGATCTGCTTCACGGGGAGAGGAGGCAGGCAAAAGTTACAAAATTATTTTCAAACTGGCATGATACAGCCTTATTTAGGTACTTACATAAGCAGCCTGGTTTTTCAGAGGTGTAGTGAACTCATTGTTTTGAGAGCACGAGACGGCAGCGTTTATTTTCAAACAACTTCCTATCAAGCCAACTCGAAGTCAAGCGGTCCCCATCCACCGGCGGGGGGCAGAAGGCAGCTTCTGCCACTTCGAATCAATGCCGGCTCGTCGGGGAAATGAATTTTTTTAATTATCTTACATTACAGTAAATTCTGCAACGTGCAACCTCTTTCTTTAGCAAAATTTGATTTAAACACAGACAAATTAGGTTGTCTTCGACCTTGCCGTCTCTTCGAGCAAGGGACGAGGAGAGCATTTTTCAAGCTTCATCGTCAGAGAACCAAAGATACGGCTGAAATTTATCAGGAAGAGTTCAACATGAACACAGAAATCTTAATTTCCTTCAATGCAGAGAAAAAAATTTTCTTGACAGTTTAGACTTTCATTCTATATGGACAGTTTGCCATTTGGGATGTTTACAATCTGTAGGTGCCCCCTTAACTTTTTTGGTGAGGAACATCATGGAGCAGCGTTTGGTTTCTGTCTTAGTGATGCTGCTGCTGTAGCAGCCTTCAAGCGCCAAGCTGAAAGCTCGGGGTGTGTAGGAGGACCTCTGTGCATATTTTAAATATTCAGATTTTCACAAAGTGCTTCTGCAAAAAGCAGACTTCAAGGCAGACCCTCCGATTTGCACCGCTTTTGATGAGTTCATGCACTCTGCAGCTAACAAATTCATTTCTGCAAGGAAATGTGAGGCTCAGTGTAATTCTCTACCGCCACAACTTCTTGTAAATGATTCCATTTCCAGGCAAAGCATTTTTCCAGGCAAAATCCCACCATGCCCAGGCAAAAGGAGCCCAAAGGGCACCTCTTCTGGGAAGAGCGAGGCTGCACCTCAACACACCAGGCAGCCCAAACTGCGGCTTAAAGCTCTTAGAAAAGCGAAGGTTTACCCGAAGAGTGGGTGAATCAGTCATCACAAGGCACCTTCTCACGTTGCCTGATGCCGTGGCTGCTCCTGGAAACATCCCTGGAGTAAGTGTTCTCACACGCAGGGCAACCAAAGCCTTGGTGCCTAAAGTCTGCCTAATAAAACCAAAATAAAACCAAAGTCTGCCTAATAAAACCAAAATTAAGCTGAAAGCTCGGGGTGTGTAGGAGGACCTCTGTGCATATTTTAAATATTCAGATTTTCACAAAGTGCTTCTGCAAAAAGCAGACTTCAAGGCAGACCCTCCGATTTGCACCGCTTTTGATGAGTTCATGCACTCTGCAGCTAACAAATTCATTTCTGCAAGGAAATGTGAGGCTCAGTGTAATTCTCTACCGCCACAACTTCTTGTAAATGATTCCATTTCCAGGCAAAGCATTTTTCCAGGCAAAATCCCACCGTGCCCAGGCAAAAGGAGCCCAAAGGGCACCTCCATTTTCTTGACAGTGTAGACTTTCATTCTATAAGGACAGTTTGCCACTTGGGATGTTTACAATCTGTAGGTGCCCCCTTAACTTTTTTGGTGAGGAACATCATGGAGCAGCGTTTGGTTTCTGCCTTCGCGCTGCTGCTGCTGTAGCAGCCTTCAAGCGCCAAGCTGAAAGCTCGGGGTGTGTAGGAGGACCCTGTGCATATTTAAAATATTCAGATTTCACAAAGCACTTCTGCAAAAAGCAGACTTCAAGGCAGACCCTCTGATTCGCACCGCTTTTGATGAGTTCATGCACTCTGCAGCTA